AGCCACACAAGCATCTTAATGTTGTTTTGCGATTTACCACATTGTCTTCTTTAGATTCCAGAATTATAGCAGATATATCATCTGTTTTTCTTTCTCTTGAGGGATGAATGAAATGAGAAAAACCAAGGTTAGGTGTGATTTAGTGACTTATTCAGGATTATGCCATACGTAGTAGAGGAGGGATTTACAGCTGATCCCCCATTCCTGACTCCAAGGAAATTCACCTGTGAACAAAACTGCATTTTATCTCTTGCAGCCTGATCTGTATTTGAATTTAATTTTCAGGAATCAATTTCCTGAATTGTGTGAATTTATGTATGGTGTTCCAGCCAGAATTTTTTATTGTATTTTATTTGTGTAATTTGATTTCTTCCTGAGCATGAAGATGATCCACCCTTTTACCTACCTCTATACTCTTAGACACCAGCAATTGGGAAAAATGAATGTCAGATTTAAAATCTAAAATAAACTAGGCACAAAATATGAAACATAATAAATGATGGAAACAAAATCTCAGATCATTTTAAGATAGACTTTATGTAAATTACAGTAACCAGGGGGCAGTAAAATTGTCTCAAAATGCTTTTATTTACTGTTTCTTTACTCCCAGTATTTTGCATTTGTCTTTCTCAATACAGATTCACATCACTAACTCTATTCTTATATTTAACAATTAGCAAGACATATTAGAAACTCACATTTCTTTGGATTTAAGACAAAAATTTTTAAAAATTTTTAAAATTTTTAAAAATTGTCAGCTTGATATTAAATAATAGTGAGTGGTAGGAATAGTGACTAACTGCAAAGTACATGTCCCAACTGAAAAGGATGGTCACAACTTTGTTCCAAGTAGACACTGCCATCTTGGAAAGGAAACCTGGTTATTCCCAGATCTACAAAGCTTTCAAAAGCAGGAAAAAAAAATCTTGATTTTTGTTAGTGTTAACCAATTCAAAGCTAAAGAGGAGGAATGGATCATATAAACTATGTTTCTGGGACACAGCCTGGCATGTGGGCCTGTAGGTAGAGAATGGTTCAGTAGGAATGTTTATAGTCCCCTTAAACAAGGATCTTGGTGCTGGTCAGACTAACACTGTCCTTTGCATTCTCACATCTGATTGATCGGTACTTCCTATTTCTCAGTGTATCTATGCATCATTTTTATCTGCAGGTTTCAATGATTATTATTGTTACCTCCAGCCTAACACAATTGATATCCTTAAATAAGATTTGATTATGCAAAGCTAATTGTATGGAATTACAATCTTTAAACTTAAAGGAGAGAATATAGATTGTTTTCTATACTCCCTCAGGAGAAAGTAAAATAAACATTTTGATCGCTGTTATGCTCCTAGTTTCTGGAATGTTCTCTGGCAAATAGTAGGTTGAATGAAATTAATTTATTAATGGAAGTTTATTATTTTAGTCATTTATTCATTATTTCTTCCTTCATTTGTTAACTTTTCTTAGCATAAACTGTATCAATCATGCTGTTTAAAAACCTTTGAAAAAGTAGAGATTAATTAGGGCAGGAAAATTATTCTGCTTGGTAAAATAAATTATACTGTCTCCAATTTAGTGAGATATAATCTATATTTTTTTCAGCTTTATTGAAGTATAATTGAAAAGTAAAATCTTAAGATAATTAGTTGTACATCATGATGATTTGATATTTGTATATATATCATGAAAGAACTCCTCCCATCTGTTTAATTAATGCAACAATTGAAATGTGATCTACATTGTAAAGTGTAAACCTACATGTAGGCTTCAACTTTTTGTTGGAAAGATATCAACTTTTTTCTTAATTCTCCTTCCTAGAAAAATGTAATAAGAGCATATCATATTTTATAATCACCAAGCAAATATCCCTTAGCCAACCAGAACTTTGACCCTGTAAATGAAATGCCTTTGGGGGAAAAAGCCACATACTACATGTCCATTAGCCAAAAAAAAAAAGAAAAGAAAAGAAATCACCACTCAAGATCTCATAAATTTATTTTAAAATAACTCTTGGTTTAGGGCCTCCCCTGGTGGCGCAGCGGTTGGGCGCTGGGCTGCGAGGCTGCCCGCAGTCTCTGCAGTGCCGGTTCGTTCCCTGGCCACCGGCGAAGGTCCCACAAAAATAAATATATAAATAAATAAAAATAACTCTTGGTTTAAAGGATTAGTATTTGATAACCTAAAACTATTTAATTCACTGTAAAGAAAAAAAAAGCTTTAAAACTCCCATTTGGTTAAAATAATGCACTTTTGCTCACTTCACTATTCACTACTAATTTATGACCATTTTTAAAAAAAAAAAACAGACCTCAAAAATAGTATTCATTTGACATATAAGTATAAAGAAAAAAATGAACTCCCATCTTCAAGTTCAAATACATAAATTCTTATAGAGTCATGTCTATACACTTATTTTTTGATGTTAAGATTTTTAGCACTGTGTCAACTATTTCATCATATGAATCACTCCATCATACACTGCATCAGATTCAATTCTGTACTAACAGCAGCATTGGATAACCAAAATTAACATGAGTACCAAGCTTCCTCTTCAGCCAGGGTCACCTATCTACTTAACTAAAAATCAAAATTAGCCCTATTTGAAAAATACTCACTAGCATAATATTACCTGTTTATGTTGGTTATAGTTCATTGTTCTAGTCTTCAATTGAAGACTATAACTGAATGTGCCATCAAACTGTGTTTCCACATTGATTGGATTGCCTATTTTAAAAAAAAAAAATTTATTTATTTATGCATTCAAGAACTGGGGTGTAGGCCAGAGGTGCTGGGGGTGAGAGGATTACCAGAGACAGAGTGGGGAGCAGAACAAGCAAATCTACTTTCATACAGCAGGGCAAGACAGGCGAGGTCTGCTGCACCATGCGGGTCAGCTCCCTGGCCAGGGATCGAACTCATGAGGCAGTGGCTGGCAATAGCTTGACAAGGCTGAGACTTTAACCCCTGCGCCACCAGGGAGTGAAATGTCTTTCTATAACATGAAAATCTGACTTATAAACCACAAAATATATTTCCTTTTCATTAAGGATTTGCTTTAACTTTTCAAGCACATGTTTCTTAGAGTGTGTAGAAGATAATTAATATTTGCTGCTTAGAATAGCAGGAAGAATAACATATATGTCCCTGAAAACATATATGTCTCAATCACCAGAATTTGTAAATGTTAAATTACATAGTAAAGGGAAATCAATATTACAGAGAGAATTAAACGTATAATCAGCTTATCTTTTCTCCTCTATTTTTTAATTGAAATCACATTGCATTTTATGTTTCGGATGTGCATCATTGAAAATCAGTATGTGTAAATGCAACATTAAGTTTACCACCAAGGGAGTGCAAACTGGTCCAACCACTATGGAGAGCTGTGTGGAGATTTCTGGACCTACTAAACATAGAGCTTCCATATGATCCAGCCATTCCACTCCTAGGTATTTACCCAAAGGACACAGAAACATCAATTCCAAAGAACACCTGCACCCCTATGTTTATATCAGCTCTATTTACAATAGCTAAGCTTTAGAAACAGCCCAAATGCCCAAAAATAGATGACTGGATCAAGAAGATGTGGTCCATATATACCATGGAATATTACTCAGCATTCAAAAAAGATAAACACATGCAATTTGCAGCAACATGGATGGCGCTGGAAGGGATCATGCTCAGCGAAATAAGCCAGAAAGAAAAAGAAAAATACCGGATGGTCTCACTCATAGCAGGAATCTAGAAAACTTAAATAAGGGAGGAGGAAAATGAATAACTATAAGAAAGTGAAAATCAAAATCAACAAAAAACTATGAACCAGAGACACTTTTTGGGGGGTGGGGGTGGGAGGGGAGGGGTTGGGGTCAGAATGGGGGGGTTGCAATTGTATTGGGAATATAAAAATAAAATTTATTATTAAAAAAAAAAAGTTTACCACCAAAAGTCCAATTCTGTCCATCACTATACAATGGACTCCTTTTACCAATTTACCATTTGTTCATTTGTTTGTTTTCTCTGTATACTACATACAAGTGAAATTATGGCATTTCTGTTTCTCTACCTGACGTCTTTCATGAAACAATACATTCTAGATCCATCCATGTTGATGCAAATGACAGGGTTTCCTCTTTTTTATCACTAAGTAGTATTCCATTGTGACTATATACCACATCTTATTCATCTAGTTGTCAATTGATGGGTATGTAGGTTGTTTCCAGCACTGAATAGAATAAATAATGCTAAATATCTCTTCAGTGCTTTTGTATTCTTCAGATAAATTCCCAAAAGTGGGATAGATAGATGATATGTAATTTCTGTTTTTAATTTTTTAATTTCCGCACTTCTTACCATAAGTGGCTATACCAATTTACATTCCCACCAACAGTGTTAAAACATTTCCATCTCACCACATCCTCTCCAAAACTTGTTTCTCACCTTTTTGATAATAGCCATTCTTGCAAGTATGAGGTGCTCATTATTTTGATTTTCATTTGATGTTTTGAATGGGAGAAAATCCTGGATTATCTGGATTGATTCAGTGGAATCACAAGGATCATTAAAAGTAGAATAGAGAATCAGAAGAGAGTCAGAATCAGAAGAGAGTCAGAGAATCAGAAGAGATGGCAATATTAGAAAATTGCCATGAACCAAGGGAAATGGGAGCTTCAAGAACTGCAAAGGGGAAGGGAATGGATTCTTCCATAGAGCCTGCAGAAAGGAATATATAACTTCTGACAATTGACAATACCCAGTGAGACACATTCAGGGCTGTTGACCTACTGAACTGTAAAACATTACGTTTATGCAATTTTGGGCCATTGAGTTAGTGATAAGTTTACTGAAGCAACCAGGCAAACTAATATACTGTAGAACCTTATTTTTTTTTCCTTTTACAGAATCCTCTGCTATTGAAATTTCATTAATGAAAATAAGTTAACATTTTCAGGCATTCTTAAGGCATTATCTATTTGTTCAGTCATTCTTTTTTTTTCCAGGCAAGTCGACATAGCAGGCAAGCAGACATTTCAAGAAGACAGGAAATGGAAAGAAATGAACAAGAGCCTTCCAAAGCACACAAAATTGATGTTCTTGGAACAGAAATGGTAACTACATAGAGACACAATACTTTACAGTTTCCACAAGTGTGTGGAAATTCTGAACTTATGAGCTTTTTTAAATTTTATTTATGTATTTAACATCAATGTAAATCAGAGTCTTTTTCCATAGTTTGAAAATAACATATTTGAAAAATAAAACTAGCACCCTAAAAATACGAGTGCATTTAACATGTTAACTTGTATGTGTCATGTTGTAGCATAAATCTCTGTGTTAAAATAAGTGATAGAGTTCTAATTAGCATCGCTCAACCTGTACTAAAGACTTTGATGAAAACCTCTGTGAGATGAAGCCTTTATGTGCAGGGCTGAAATAACTTCCTGAATACAAGTATTTATTTAAAATTGTCTTTAAACACAGATGTCTCATCTTGAAAAACACACTGAGGAAATAAACCAAGCTTCCAAGTTTCAACAATGTGTTCAAGAAACAGGTAAGAATCTGGCATTATTTGATCTCAATATACTTTCTATTATCTGTCTGTGTTTGAATACAGGACTTTCAAAACACAATTCATCCCACTAAGAAAAGTTAGTAACTATTACTCATGATCCCAAAGGGACCATATAATTTTGTTCTATCTGTGGTAATAGATGCAATAAACTTTTTAAAATAAACCATTGTCTATCAACCCTAGATGTATTTATCCTAAAAGCCTAGATAGTGATAAGCCAGCCACCTCAGAATTGTTCTTGCCTCAGAGACCTGAAAAATAATGATATTTATCAAGATCCCTGATAACAAAGTTGTTACATAGATTATATTACTTGTAAAACAGATTTGAGCACTTATAAATCCAGTTCTCCAACCTATACATATGAGATCAGACTAAAGGCAAATTTGTAAGTGTTCACATAAAATGGACACAGGTTGTCTTGCCTACAAAAAGAGAATGGCAGACCTCCCAGGTGGCACAGTGGCTAGAGCGCTGTGCTTTGAAGCTGTCCACAGCCTCTGCAGTGAGGGTTTGATTCCCAGCCAGCCGGGGAGAAACCCACATGGTGTGGCAGACCTCTCCTGCCTCGCCCACTGCTCTCCTCAGCAGTGTCTTCGGTCCATCTGCCTGTTCTGCTCCCCACTCTCTCTGGTGAATTGTCTCATCCTCCTGCACCTCCGATCTGTATCCCAGTTCTTGTATAAATAAATAAATCTTAAAAAAAGAGAGAGAGAATGACAATTTTTGCAGTCCTGAAGGGTTTAAGGAAGATTTAAACCATATGTGACCAAGACATTATTAAACTATATTTGTATTTTGATTTTGCTACTTAAAGATATAAGTCTTCCTTTACTGTTCTCCTGTTGTTCTTGTTTTATATATTTTAATATTTTTCCTGACTATAAAAGTAAAACAAGAGTGTAGAACAGTTTAGAAAATATATACAGTTAAAATAAACAGCAGTTTCATCAATATGACTCCCCACCCAGAGTCACTAATACCACCATTTTACTTTCTGTAAATTTTACTTTCTTAATTTATGAGACGTTTCCTATAGCATTATAATTTCTTCTCAAATATCATTTTTGTTAGTTACATAATGTCCCTGGTATTCTTTTTTGTTTGTTTGTTTGTAGTCATTGACACACCTGAGGATGAAGAGATACCAAAGGTTTCTACTAAGTTTTTAAAAGAGCAATTCGAAAAATCTGCCCAGGAAAATGTTGTTTATTCTGATAAAGAGATGACAACCCCAGCCAAGCAGATTAAGGTAAAATACTCTCTCTAAACAGAAACTTATATCAAGCATTTTCAAATTGCTGAATGTTTGAGGTGATTCTTAACAACAACAAAAACTCCTAAACAGTTTATAAAGAGAATATTATCCCACATGAGAAAAGAGGTAGAGTTAAGACCTTTCTCACTAAAGAAAATGAGGGAAGAAAAAATTATGTATGCTCTAAAGTTTAATAACTGACATTAGTTAAAGTAATGAAGTCAATTTTAAATGTCAGATACTCTGATCTGTTTGAAATTTGAAGGAAAACAAACAATCCTCAAAAGTACTTTAAGACTTATTGTTTCCTGTAGATGATTCTGCATAGCACATTAAATAAAGGAGGGAAAAACAACATTGTGCATAAATGTTAAAAAACTGAGTCATTGACGTGTTGAAGAATATAACTCTAAAACTATAAATGGATTCTGGAGAAGATGACAAATACTGAGTATTGCTTCAAAGTAGTTATTTAAATGAAGTATATCATCTGTTATTCCTAATGGAGGTGTCACAGCAGGTGGGCAGGTGAAGGGGAATGTCTAGGAAGACTTCACCACTGCATCCATCTTTATATGATTTGATTTTCTCTCCTTAAAGATCAAAAGTGACTATGAAGAGACTTTAAAGCCATCATCATTGGTGGGTACCTCTTCCACATCTTGTACTTCTTACAATCAAAGAAATGAAGCATCAACCACAAAATATAGTGACCACAGTGCTACTGCCTCAACTCTAGCACAAGTTAATGCCATTCCTTCAGGAAAAACAGAAGAATTTCCTCCTCCCCCACCTGATATGCTTCAAACTCCAATAGATGTGACAGCATTTTCCCAGTCCCCTGAATTCCCCAACCCTCCTAGAATGCAACCAGTCCCCAAAGAACTATATTCCAAGCAAAGAAATTTGTATGAATTAAACCGTTTGTATAAACATATCCACCCTGAGTTAAGAAAAAACTTAGCAAAAGATTATATCAGTGAGGTTTCTGAGATTGTTTCTAGTCAAGTGAACACAGGGAACTCACTTTTAGCAGATGTGCAGCAAGCCCGCTATGTTTTTGAAAATACAAATGACAGCTCACAAAAAGGTCTGAATTCAGAAAGAGAACACGTGGAGTGGGATGAAATTCTGAAGGGGGAGGTACAGTCCATGCGATGGATCTTTGAGAATCAGTCATTAGATTCCATTAATAATGACACTCCAGATGAAGATAACATCTCCAAGGGCATTGCTGCTCAAGAAATAATTACTGGTGGGGTTGTAAAATATACTACATGGATGTTTGAAACCCAACCCATAGATACATTGGGGATTCATTCTCCTGGCACTGAAGAAAATGCTGAGAAAACTCCAGAGCTAGCCAGAGGAGATGTCCGAACAGCCCGGTGGATGTTTGAAACAAGGCCATTAGACTCCATGAATAAAATACATGAAAGTCAAGAAGATTCAGCAGTAACTGCCATAAAGGACATTACTGGGGGGGATGTGAAGACTGTGAGATACATGTTTGAAACTCAACCTCTGGATCAACTTGGGCAGCTTGATTCAGTGGATGAAGTTCACCTACTGCAACTCAGATCTGAGCTCAAAGAAATTAAGGGAAATGTTAAAAGAAGTATAAAATGTTTTGAAACTCAACCACTGTATGTTATCAGAGATGATTTCGGTCAAATGCTGGAAATTAAAACTGTTCACAGAGAAGATGTCGAAAAGGGGGATGTGAGAACAGCACGCTGGATGTTTGAAACACAGCCCCTGGACACAATTAACAAGGAAATCACAGAAATTAAAGTTGTCCGAGGAATATCTGTGGAAGAAAATATCAAAGGTGGGGTGAGTAGGGCAAAGTGGCTGTTTGAAACCCAACCTTTGGAGAATATCAAAGAAGAGTCAGAAGAGGTCATCATTAAAAAGGAAACAATAATAGGTGCAGATGTGTCCAGAAAGTGTTGGATGTTTGAAACACAGCCACTAGACATTCTGAAAGAAGTTCCTGTTGGAGATCCTGTACAATCTGAAGAGATAATAGGGGGTGATGTACAAACTACTAAACATCTATTTGAAACACTTCCAATGGAGGCCTTAAAAGATAGCCATGATATAGGAAAACTTCAGAAAATTACTGCCTCTGAAGAAGAGAAGGGGGATGTCAGGCACCAGAAATGGATTTTTGAAACCCACCCTCTGGAGGAAATCAGAGAAGATAAAAAAGAGTACATACGAACAGTGAAACTTGAAGCCGTTGATAGGGGAGATGTGAGGCATTACACACATATCTTTGAGTCAAACAATTTAATTAAATTTGACGCATCACATAAAATAGAGGTGGAAGGAGTCACAAGAGGTGCTGTAGAGTTAAATAAATCACTCTTTGAAACAACACCACTTTATGCTATACAAGATCACCTTGGAAAATATCATGAAGTAAAGACAGTCCAGCAAGAAGAAATCGTAAGAGGTGATGTAAAAAGTTGTAGGTGGCTTTTTGAAACAAGGCCCATTGACCAGTTTGATGAAAGCATTCATAAATTCCAGATAATTAGAGGAATATCCGCTCAAGAAATACAGACTGGAAATGTGAAATCTGCTAAATGGCTATTTGAAACCCAACCTCTTGATTCCATCAAATATTTTAGTAATACGGAAGAAATAGAAAGTAAAACTGAATCAGCTACAGATGTTGTTAAAGGGGATGTCCAAACCTGTAGATGGCTTTTTGAAACCCAGCCAATGGAATCTCTTTATGAAAAAGTTTCATTAATGACTGGCAATGAAGACATTCATAAGGGAGATGTCAAAGCCTGTACTTGGCTCTTTGAAACCCAGCCACTTGATACCATAAAAGATGACTCTGAAGCAACAATCAAACTGCAGACTGTAAAACAGGAAGAGATCCAAGGTGGGGATGTACACACAGCATGTTTTCGTTTTGAGACAGAAAATTTGGATAGCATACAAGGAAAAGAAGGAAAGGAAATGAAGGCTGTGGAAATAGATATCCAAGCTGGAGATGTCTCCGGCATGCGGTTTAAATTCGAAAATCAGTCCTTAGATTCTATAGGTTCCAGCACAGAAGAAGTTTTGAATAAGATGAAAACCCTAAAGACTGAAGATATTCAGAAAGGCAGTGTTTTAAAATGTAGATGGCTTTTTGAAAACCAGCCAATTGATAGGATAAAAGAAATCCAAGAAGGTCAGGAATTAGTGAAAACAGTTACAGACATACAAGGTGGGGATGTGAGAAAGGGGTGCTTTATTTTTGAGACTTTTTCTTTAGATGAGATTAAAGAACAATCTGATGTCACAGGCAGCAAGAAAGCAATTACTGAAGAAGTAATAAAGGGTGACGTAAAAAGCTACAGAATGCTCTTTGAAACCCAGCCGCTCTATGCAATTCAAGACCGAGAAGGGCATTATCATGAAGTGACAACAGTTAGAAAGGAAGAGGTAATTCACGGAGATGTACGAGGGACAAGGTGGCTTTTTGAAACAAAACCACTAGACTCCATTAATGAATCAGAGACTGTGTTTGTTATCAAATCTGTCACACAAGAAGACATTCAGAAGGGGGATGTTAGTTCTGTCAGATACAGATTTGAAACCCAGCCACTGGATCAAATTTCCAAAGAGTCACATAATATCGTGCCCACTATAGATGATATTCAACATGGGGATGTAAAGACAAGTAAACAATTCTTTGAGTCTGGAAATCTTGATAAGAATACTTATATAAGGACAGTAAATGTCAATGAAATACAAAAGGGCAATGTTAAAACATCTACTTGGCTATTTGAAACCCACACTCTGGATGAGCTGAGAGGAGAAGGGTCAGAATATGAAAATATCAAAATAGTCACCCAGGAAGATATACAGAAAGGTGATGTTAAACAGGCAGTATGGCTTTTTGAAAATCAAACTTTGGATTCTATTAAGGAAGCAGATGAAACCATTACAAAAGTAATCAGGGAAGAAATCCCTCCTTCTGATGTTAAGACAACTACATGGCTCTTCGAAACAACACCCCTCCATGAATTTAATGAAAATAGAGTAGAAAAGGTAGAAATTATTGGAAAAAGCATTAAAGAAACCTTAAAAGAACTCTACTCTCAAAGAGTTATTGAGTCTCCTGGAATTATCATCGAAGCTGATGAAGTTGGAGATGTCCGAATGGCAAAATACAAGCTAATGAATCAAGCATCTCCTGAGATACAGAAAGAAGCTATTATCAGAGTTGATCTCAGAAATATAATAGTGAACCTACTTTCCAGGGCAGACTGTATAAAAAGAGAGATTTTAGTCAGTGAAGAAGAAAGGGGAAATGTTCACTTGACCAAAACTCAATTATTGAATAGATCAACAGAATTTCATGCTGAAAAAGAAGAAATAGTGAGTGGCAATGTGCAACAGGCAATCAGAAACCTTTCCTCAGAGGAAAGATCTGTAAAGAAAGGCATTTTAATTCAAGAAGATGAAAAAGGGGATGTTAAAATGACTCTCTATTGTCTTCTTCATGAAAGCCCTAGTGGCACAATTGAGCGTGAAAAAGTAATAGGGGGTGATGTAAAACGTACTATTCATAATTTGCTATCATCCATATCAACAGATAAAATACCTGAAAGGGCTAAACTTGGTATCTCTGAGAGGGGAAATGTTCAGTTTTTTACAACATGTATAGAAACTGGAGCTTTGGATTATCTCAGACAACTCCAGACAGGGTCAAGTGAAACACTAACAGCTAGGAAACAAGAAAGAGAGGAAGCTGTAATTGGTGATGATGCCGAGGGTACAAAACTGTTACTAAAGAAAAGGCAGTCTCAGTTTAAACGTACTGTTAATGAAACTGACATCATCCCAGGAGACATGCATAACACAGTTAAGGTTTTTATGACACAGCCTCAGAGTACTTCTTGTAAGACACCCAAAGAAGAAATTATACAAGCTGATTTCAAATCAAAATCAACCTTAAATTCTTTCAACCAGGACATAAATCA